AAGTTAAATGACTTGCCTGGGGTCACACAACTAGTAAATATCAGAGACTGGAATTGAACTCGGGTCCTCCTGACTCCAGGTCTAACATTCTGACCATTGTGTCACTTAGCTATCCCTGCTATCTTTATAGACAAAGGGGAAAGATGTACACTAGATAATTGTACCATTAAGTATCAGTAAAAAGGCAGATGCAAAGAGTAGTCGTAGGGATCCATCTGATGGTCTCATCTTAGTTCTCTTCTTTCTTGGGCCTTTCTGCTGCATTTGCCACTGTTAATAACCCTCTTCTCTTTGACACTTTCTTCTTTCTTGGGTTTTATGATATTACTCATTCCTGTTCTCCTCTTACCCTATCTGACCTTCTGTTTAGTCTCCTTTGCTGGTTATCATTCATATAACGCTCCCTTACTATGGGTCTTTTCCAAGGCACTGTCCTAGGTGCTGTCTCTGTGTCTCCCTCTCTGTCTCTCAACTCAGCTCTCAGGGGCTTAATTATCATCTCTATGCCAACGACTCTCGTCTATACATCCACGTGCAGTCTTTCTCCTGGGTTTCAGTCCCATGGCACTAGTCACTTGCTGGATGTTTAAAAGTGGATATCCCAGAGATATGTCAAACTCTTCATGTACAAAACTAACCAAGCCCTTCCCTCTCCCAGTCGTCCCTATTTCTATTGAAAGCAATATCATTCTTTCAATCTCCCAGATTTGACATCTTGACATCATACTTGATTCCATACTCTCCCTCACCCTGAAATAGCCAACCAGTTGTCAAATTTTGCCACTTCTTTCTTCACATCTCTTGCTTCCAAACCTTGCTCTTTATTCACACTGCTATGCCCCCAGTCCAAACACTCATCATCTCTTGCCTAGATTGGTACAAGAATCTCCTAATTGGTATCCCTACCTCAAGTCTTTCTCCACTTTGGTCCATGCTCTACACAGCTGCCCAAATGATTTTTCTTAAGTGCAGATCTTATCACATTACTCCTCTACTCAATAAACTCCAGTGGCTCCCTATTGCCCCAGAATCAATTTTAAATGAGTGTTTAGCTTTTAACACCCTTAACAACCTGGCACCAACTTTTCTTTTGTGCATTAGATTCCCCAGTTCAGCCAAACTGGCCTTCTTACTCCTCTTCACACATGGGACTCCCTTTCATATCTCATACTTTTGCACTGACTTTTCTCCAGCCCTGGAATGTACTCTTTCCTCACTTCTGCCTCATAGAATCCCTCTCTTCTTTTTAGACTCTATTCAAGCACCAGCTTCTTCATGAAGCCTTTTCTTATCCCTCTGACTGCTCGTGCCTTCTCACCAGAACTACCTTATTTTTAACTGCTAGGTGATACAATGGAGTTAGGAAGACCTCAGTTCAAATCATACTTCAGACATTTACTAGCTGTGAGTCACTTAACCTCTGTCTGCTTTAATTTCCTCATTTGTAAAATGAGGGTAATAATAGCACCTACGTCCCAGGGTAGGATAAAATGAGATAATATTTGTAAAGAACTTTGCAAACCTTAAAGTGCTATGAAAATGTTGGTTATTATTATTATTATTCATTACTTGTTTTGTATATGCTTCTGTACTTGTCCTACCCATTAGAATATAAATAAGCTCTTTAAAAATAGGAATTATTAGAATAGTTCTTGTTAATAAATGCCTGCTGATTTGACTGATTAATTGAATGAATGACAATTCGGGAGGAGGTCTACTGTGTAGCTTTCAGGGATCTAAGGTTGGCCTTGTGCTGCTTAACATTTTAATCAATGGTTTGAAGACATAGATGGTAATCTGTCAAATTCAAAAAGGATAAAAAGCTTGGAAGGAGAGCTAACACACTGGGTAGTAAAGTAATGATCCAAAGACTTTTATTGGCTAGAATGATAGCTTCAGTCAAATAAGATGAAATTTAGTAGAATGTAAATCCTTACACTTGGGTTAAAAAAATTTAATTTCACAAGTATGATACCTTGCCTTTCTTAGACCATGTTATGTTCAGTTTTGGCTGCCCTATTTAAAGATGAAATTGACAAGCTGAAGGATATCCAGAGGAAGGTGATAAAGATGATGAGAAGACCAGAAATCATTCCATCTGAGGACCAGTTGAAGGGAAGGAGGTTGTTTAGCTAAGGTAAAGGAAGGCTTGGGTGGGGGGCCTGTTAGCTGGCTTCAAGGATTTACAAGATCCTTGCACGTCAAGGATGTGCAAGATTTACAATTGCTCTTTTGGCCTCAGAACAGGAAGTAGGAACAACAGGCAGAAATTGCAGGGAAGTAATTAAGCTCATTCTACTTTGCATTTATTGAAAAGGAACAAGTTACTCCTCCCTCCCCCCCTACCTAGGAAAGCTCATCACTACTAAACTCACCACCTTGCTGCTAATTCAAACCCTCATTGACTCAACCACCCTCAGCCTCCTCTCTCTCCAGATTGGAACACTGGAGGGCAGAGTACAAAACTCCTCCCAATGCCTCCCTTTATAGAAGGCAGAAATTGAACTCTCTCAGCTTACTCTGTTCCATATCTGCTGCTCTGCCTGGATTCAATTCCACAGAAGATTCCTCCACCCCCACCACCTTGGTGTTTCATTTCTCACCCTCCCTCTCCCCTTTTCAGCTTCATTTTGTGTATTGTCTCTCCTTTCAGATTGTAAGCTCTTTGAGGACAGAGACTGTCTTTCTTTCCTTCTTTTTTCTTTCTTTCTTTTTTTGTTTTTTACTAATTGTATCCCCAGTACTTAGTACAATGTCTGGTACATATTAAGTCCTCAATATTTATTAGATTGGAAGTAGATTTAGGCAGAAGAAACCACTTCCAAAATAACAGAGCTACCCAATAGTGGAATGGGCAACCTTGAAAGGTACTGGACTCCTCTTCACTTGAGTGAGGACTTCTAGCAAAGGCTTTAAATAATCACAAGACTTTAAATAGGCATGCTGTTGAAACACTTTTTGGTCAGTTATGGGTTGGCTTCTGAGGTCTGTGTGATTCAATGTCTCACACTGGTGAAACAAAGAATACCAGAATTGAGAGGTATCTTGGGATTATAGAATAGAGCCAGTTGTGGTGACACATAGCTCTAATCCCAACTACTGGGGAGGCTAAGGCTGATGGATCTCTTGAGCATCAGAGTTCTGAGCTGCTATGGGCTACGCTGATCAGGTTTGTGTGTTAAATTAGGCATCGTTATCTGAAGAGGGAGAGAAGAGAGAGAGAGAGAGAGAGAGAGAGAGAGAGAGAATCAGGTTGCCTAAAGAAGGGAGAATTGGACCGGGTTGGAAAGGGAAGATGTCAAAGCTTCCATGATGATCAGTAGAGGGATTGGGTCTATGAGTGGCCCCAGCATTCCAGCCTAGGCAAGATGGTGAGATCCAGTCTTAAAAATAAAATAAAATGATTATAGAATACAGGATATCAGAGCCAGAAAATACTTTAGTAGTCATCTAATGTAACCCTTACCAGAAGCTCAAGTCCCATTTATAAAACATCTTGAAACAAGTAACCATTTATTGTCTTCTTAAAAATCTCCAGTAAGGGATAACTTACGATTCTCAGGAGGCAAAATACTCCATTTTCTAGAAAGCTTTAAGAAGTTCTTCATTTTGTGGAGCTCAAACAAAAACCTCTGTGTAATCACCACTCATTTCTCCTCATTCTTCCCTCTAGGACCAAGCAGAAAATGACTCCAATCCTTCAAATATGTTCAGAAAATTCATTGTGTCTAAGGTTTGGGCTCAAGCCTTTTTTTCACCTTCAATGTACTCTTGTCTAGGCTATAACTCTTCATCTCATCCAAAAGAATATTATGACTTTGTCAAAAGGCTCATGACAGTTCAGAAATACTATCCCTATAGCACTGCTGGACAGCTTATTCTGAAGTCCTTTTTTACAATGAGCTGAAATCTTCCTCCCTGTTAGCTTTCACCTCGCTTTACCTTCCCTTCCCCCCACTTCTGTATTATAAGGGCCAGTGGAAAAAAACCCTGCTCTTTGTTCCTCATGACCTTCAGAAAATGGAAAACAGCTTGTCCTGGCAACTATACCAATTTTTTTTTTTGGGAGATTAAAGGAAATAGATGTCAAAAGTAGATGGAAGGAAGAGGGAACACAGAAGGGAAGATGCCCAGAATGTCTATATGTCTGAAGCATCTGAAGTGGAAAGAACTGTGAAAGAGGACACAGGGGACCTGGGCTCTAGTCCTGGCTTTGCCACTAACTTGGGATGTGTTCTGGAGAAAGTTATGCCCTTCTCTGGTCTTAGCTCTCTCTGAATTTTTATTGCCTAGGAGCACTCAAGGACTCACTGGAGTCAAGCTATCAACCTGCAAAGACAGGGAATGGTGGAATTCATATTCCTTAGGTGGGTGCCCCATATCAGATAGGAGATCATCTATCATGAAATTTAGAAAAACCCTGTTCTTAGAGTATAGAGACCTGGATCTGAGTTCTAGCGCCATCATTAATTAAATGTGTGACCTTGGGCATGTCTTACCTCACTCTGGCCTTTAATTTCCTTTTCTAGAAAATGAGAGAGGCTGGAGTAGACCAGGGGTCCTTAACCTTTATCCTCAATGGACCCCTTCTCAAAATATTTTTAAATCCATAAAATAAAATTCCTGGATTACCAAGGAAATAATTACATTGAAATAGTTACTAAAATACTTTGAAAAATTTCATAGACCCCAGGTTAAGACTCCTAGATTAGATGACTTTTATGTCCCTTTCTATTCTCAAATTTCTGTTCTGTTCTCTAAGGTTTCTTCTAGCTTTGAACTTCTATGGTTCTATGAATCTAAGGCCTATTCTAGTTTTCACACTCTAGGATTCTGTTATACTGGAAATACTCCTAAACCCATCTCTGCTTCTTGAAGTAGACATTTGGGGGGCAGTTTAGAGGGGCCTAGGGAGATTTATAGACAAGATGGAATGGAACAGAGAAAAAAAAAGTGGGAATGGAGGTGTCCAGGGAAAGCAAACATCAAGGGTTTATTACCTGTCCCAGAGAGCGGGGGAGGACTTGGCCAGCCTGCCCTGGAGAATTCGAGGCTGCCACAGACAAGCGGGTACCCAGGAATTGCGCACCCTGCAGTGTGAATAGAGGACAAACTGAGGCTCAGAAAGTTGCAGTGACCTCCTCAAGGTCACACAGCTAGTAAGCCTATTGAGTTAGTATTTGCCTTGGGATGAGGCTAGTCATGAGTCAGTGAGAGCCCTGGCTGTGTTTTCAGGGGTAGGCCAATAGGCTTGGGTTGTGCCACCAAGCAATAGTCCAGAGGGTTTGGCACAAGGCACCCTACTAAATTCCTCAGAAACTCCCACTCCTGCCCCAGTTCTCCTTACCCAAGCCTAGGCTCATTAGGGAACACAGCTCTATGAGACCCTGTCACACATTCCAGGAGAGAACCTCAAAGCAGCACTTGGGTCTAATATAGCCATGGGTGGCCCCAGGGAACTCAATAAAAAAACTGGGTTCCTGGGGAAAATCCTGTCTAACCCAGTATCTCTAGCTACAGCCTTGTCCCTTTGAGGAACAAAATAATTGCTACTGAGGATCAGAAGTGGGAGGCAAAAACTGACCTAGGCAGAAAGACACCAGTAAGTGAGTGGGTGATGAGAACAACTCCAAGCCATATACCACATTTCTGGGCCATCTGAGACTTTGCGGGGAGGGGAGAATTGGTGGTTTCCTACCTCCTGGAAGGAACTTGTACCCACCATAGGAGTACGGACAGAAGAACAACATGGGTGAGGAGAGTAGCCCACTCAATCTGCCCCAATAATGTTTTGTGTATGTTTCTTCACATAAATTATGTGCTTCTACATATACATGTATCTCTATGGGCCTGGTTTAAAAAATTTTTTTAAAATTTTTTTTGCATAAGGCAATTGGGGTTAAGTGACTTGCCCAGAGTCACACAGCTAGTAAGTGTTATGTGTCTGAGGTCAGATGTGAACTCAGGTCTTCCTGACTCCAGGGCTGGTGCTCTATCCACTTCGCCACCTAGCTGCCCCTAAAAAAGTTTTTGTTTTTAACCAACTAAGAAACTTGATTGGCATTTTAATTGCCAAACATAACACAACAACTGATTAATGGAATCCTGCTCCTCTGGAGGAGGGGGTAGTGGTGATGTATTGGGAGAAGGGTGACAGGACAAATCAAATAAGTTAATGCAAGTGAAGTGCTTTGCAAGCCTTAAAACATAATATTTGGAGCAAACCTATATTCTCTGATGACATCTTTGGACAAGGATGCTATTTCTGCAGCTCCTTAAGAGTAGGGATCATGATTTCCTACTCTCTGGGTCCCTTACCATCTAATGCCCAGCACAGGACTCTGCACATATTTTCATACTTTAATAGTCAGCTATGATGGTGTACCTTTCAGTCTGTATTGATGGGAAGGATAAAGCTGGTGGATCACTTGAGTTCTGGAGTTCTGAGCTTCAGTAAGGCTAAGTCAACCAGTTGTCTGCACTAAGTGTGGCACCAATATGGTTAAGTCCCCAGGAATGGAGAGCCACAATACCACCTAAAGAGGGATAAATCGGTGCAGGTTGGAGAAACGAAGCAGATTAAAGTTTATGTGTCAATCAGTATTGGAATTGGGACTATGAGTGACTGCTATACTTCCAGCCTGGGCAGGATAGAAGACCCGGTCTCAAAAAAACCCAAAAAAACAAAGCAATCCAGCCACATCTGTTTACACTATGTGATTCTTTTTTTGCGGGGGAGGTAATCAAAGTTAAGTGACTTGTCCAGATTCACACACATAATAAGTGTCTGAGGCCAGGTTTGAACTCAGGTCCTTCTGACTCCAGGGCTGTTGCTCCATCCACTGTACCACCTAGCTGTTCCCACCCTATATGATTCTTACCCATGTCCTCTCACAGATTTTCTGTGAAGGATCTACAGTAGTGCAAGAAGTCTTCTCTTTTCCCATACAGTTTTACTTTTCTGTGGGCACCATGACTGTTAGATATCCTTCTTTTATCTTAGTTTTTTCCACATGACCGACCAGTCTCCTTTTCTTATCAAATATTTTCTTGCTGATTCTTCTTATGATATTTCTTGTGCTTAAATCATTTTTGGAAATATATTGCAGCTGACTTGCAACCAACATTCATCTCTCCATTACCCTTGAGGTCACCTACAACTCTGATTCTTTTTAGATAGTAGTAGCTTTCTGAGATATATAACTTCACAGCAACACTGGGAGAATTTTCATGTTAAAAAGAAGGATTTCAGTGCCAGGAAGCTGCTTAGAAGTATTGAAATCACAGAACAATTTCCCAAGTGCAATCCAGCTCATTCTCTTCCTCCTCTTCAATTCTGAGTTCAGTTTGTTTGAACTGATGCAGAATGAAATGTGCAGAACCAAGAGAACATTATACACAATGACTAAAACAAAATCAATGAGATCACAGAAAGAAAACTAGCCTGAGTAAATGTAAAACCAGTGACGCTTCTGGAGAAGAGATAGTGAAAGATAACTCCCTCTCAATCCCTGAGAGAGAAAGGGCCATTGAGAAATAATAGTCTATGTATTGTCTGATGTGTTCACTGTATTCATTATTTTAGTTCAATTATCTTTGTTAAAGAGGAAAGTTTGAGCAGGGATAGGAGTGTGGGGAATGGGGCAGGTTTTCCTCCACAAATAATTGAAGCAATGCCAAAAGGCACCAATAATAAGTACTTAAAAAAATAAGAAATTCTGGGCCCAGCTCATGGCCCATCTTCACTGCTTATCTTAATTATATGTACTGATGTGATAGTTCAAATGGACAGACCATCTAATTGCACCGTCATATAAGCTAGAGTCCAGGGGTTGGCAAACTATTGGCCCAATGGACAAAGCTGGCCTGTTGCCTGTTTTTATGCCCCAAGAGATGAAATGTTTTTATATTTTTAAATAAAATTTTATTGTATTAAAATGGAAAAAACACAATCAAGCATGACTTAAAAGAAGAGATATGAGAGGATACCCTCAATTCACTGCTTTGTGGAGGTAGGAGGTCCAGAGGCATATATTGAACATTTTTTTCTGACTGTTTCAATTGTTCAGTTGTGCTGAATTTTTTCCTATTCATTCTTTGTCTGTAAAAATATTATATGTTATATGGGATAGCTCTCTGAGAGGGTGAGGGGAGATATTCTGGGGAAAATTACAATGATGTAAAAAAACAAAGACATCAATAAAAACTTTTTTCAAAAATAGGGAAAAAAGTGAATTTAGGAATGTATTTCCTTGGTAACTGCCTTTTTCCTTAATTTGATTGCCAAGTGCAACTTCCACTTCCTAATATATAGCACAATGGGGACAGAGATATTAGGGTCCAAGTATGCTGGTTCTACTGTCCTTGATGAAGCAAACAGATTTCAGATCTATTCTAATTTCCATCCATTTGTTAGACTTTATGTCCATTTCATGTATGAGTGATTTTATCTTGGGATAGTGTAACTCATTTGATTCTAACGTCCAATTTTCCGAATTACTTCTACTGGTTTTTACTATTTTATGAGGAGATACTATTTGTAACCTCCTCCCATTCTTTGCTGTAGTATAAAAAATGCATCTGTGCCCACCTTCACACTAAGTTCAAGTATCAGAGTGTATATGTAACCTTGGAGAATCTTTCTAGAATGTCCTTCTTCTTCATTTGTCTGCACTGGTTCTTCATGCATAAGTTTCAGTTATCTTTATATTTGTATCCTATTACAAGATCATTGTAAAATGAGATGATCATGAAATGTTTCTTGCTGTCTTTGGGTGTCTGGATCACGCATCTTTGATTTGGAGCTGGAAAGAGCCTTAGAGGTGATATAAGCTAATCTCCTAATTTTTCAAATGATGCAATTAAGGCCCATACAGTTTAAATGATTTGTTCAAGGTTACCTGCACAGGATTTGAACTCAAGTCCTCTGCCTCCAAATTCAGCCCTCTTTGCACTGTACCATGCTATGGAAACTCTTTTGCCTTTTCTAGGAGAAATTATTAGCCATCCTTCCATTTAGCTGTGACTCCTTTGACTTTCAGTTTCATTTGTTGCAATAATATCAATATGATGTGGTTCTCTTTCTCCAACAATGCATTGATTTGTTGGTCATCTGACAAAGACCTCACATTAATAGTCACCAATAATTATGTTAATGTTTATAGAGGGTCTACGAACTGGAATTCTTAGGAACTACTGACCCCTCCCCCTACCCCTTTACCAACATCACTGTGGAAATGGAAGGGGGCACATAAGACTGAGGAACATTTAAACTTTTTTTTTCATGGTTCCTATAGTTAAGGATGTAATCATCTAGGGGTGAAGAGGCATTCCATACTTAGCTAGGTTGATCTTTGGGGATGGAATCTATTTTGAACCAGACTCTGAATAACAAGGAAGAAACTACTTTCCAGAAAAATAGAACTTACAAAATAGAAATGAACTTTTTGGTATAGCATTTGAGAACTCAAGGTCACTTCCATGCCATGATGAGGAATCACAGTAGGATTTTGTAAGGGAAAACAAACATATACCAGTTGAACTAAATTTGGTTAGTAGAAAGACTGCTGGATTTGGAGTTGGAGGAAATGGGATTAAATCTTGACTCCACCACTTACTACCTCTATAACCTCAGGTAAGTTATTCAACCCTATGTGAGCCTCAGTTTCCTGTTCTTTAAAATGAAGGAGGTAGACTAGATGAGGTTATCTCTAGGGTCTCTTACAGCTTTAAGTATATGATCTTATGAATCTAGGAGAGCTCATTGGCTCCAATGAGGTTTGTCATCTTTTCTTGGCCAATTCAGGCCTGAGCTCTGTGACTAGAAGACCCTGAGATTACTCATGAGTTCTCTTGCTCTTCTCCAGTTAGATTTTCACAATAAAACTAAAAATCTTGCCATGGATACGGCAGCTCTTAGAGTCGTGGTGTCTGATACACACTCTGGCCCCTCTGCTTTTATGGTGCTGAACTCCTTGCCAAAAGTTGGTCTCTCCCTTCCAATCCATCTATCCTTTAAATTCCAGTTCAAGTCCTTTCTCCTCCATGAAACCTTCTCTGACTGCCCAAGCTCTATGGAGCTCTTTCTTGA